AACGTAAAAAAGGCTACGAAAGAAGAGTTGAGGTCAGGACTCTAATAATATCAACAGGACTCCAATAATAATAGAATATTGGTTGGATTAAATGTTAAACAGGACTATTTCGTCTGTTCAAATGCTGAAATAATTAGCTGGGCTAATTTTGAGAGCAAGAAAAATTGAACGTTGGAATCCATAGGAAAACTGCCATCACATTAAAGACACTAGTTCTACAAAAAATGATATCGAAGGCATTCATGTTGGAATTTTTTTTTCCAGAAGTACAAAAGCTGCAACAGTAATTTTCTGATGAGACAAGATTAGTGAAACAACTGTAATACTGAAGGGCTAGTCTGCAATACAAGTAAGATATATCTTTCAATGGGTCTCAGCTAGGTAAGCAAAGTGGCAAAAGGTTCAATATTGTGGGTCATTTTACAATAAATATTAGAAAAACGATCTGCAACACTCCTGTTGCTGCAATATTACAGGTGACAGCGAAATAGCTGTAAGGAACTATAATACGTCAGTCACACTCACCAGCTACAATACCGCGCAATAGCATTTATGAACGAACATCACCTGCTACAATATTGCGCAATAGCATTTATGAACGAACATCGCCTGCTGCAATATTGCACAGTATCAGTTGTGAACGAACATCACCTGCTACAATACCGCGCAATAGCATTTATGAACGAACATCGCCTGCTACAATATTGCACAATAGCATTTATGAACGAACATCGCCTGCTACAATACCGCGCAATAGCATTTATGAACGAACATCACCTGCTACAATATTGCGCAATAGCAGTTATGAACGAACATCGCCTGCTGCAATATTGCACAATAGCAGTTGTGAACGAACATCGCCTGCTACAATATTGCACAATAGCAGTTATGAACGAACATCTTGCAATATTGCACAATAGCAGTTGTGAACGAACATCACCTGCTACAATATTGCGCAATCGCAGTTATGAACGAACATCACCTGCTACAATATTGCGCAATAGTTATGAATATTATGAACGATCTTGCTCCAATATTGCGCGCAATTATGCACCACCAGCAGCGCAGGGCGAGGCTCACCAGGACCATTCCTGTTAGCCTTGCGTCTGCCATAAGAGGAGCGCCGCGCATGTCGGGCGCGGTGTGCAGCTCTGCATCAACACAACCTAACTTCTGCGGCAGCCATAGCGCACACTCGGTTCTTGCAATGGCTTTCACGAGAATTAAACTGTAGTCATTTAATATGTTCACGAAAAGTGAACTTAAGTCATTTAATATGCTTATGAAAATCAAACTCAAGTCATTTAATATGTTTATGAAAATTAAACTTAAGTAATTTAATATGTTTATGAAAATCAAACTCAAGTCATTTAATATGTTTACGAAAATTAAACTCAAGTCATTTTATATGTTTACGAAAAGTAAATTCAAGTCATTTAACATATTCACGAGAAGTAAACTCAAGTAATTTAATATGTTTACGAAAATTAAACTCAAGTCATTTAATATGTTTCTCGAAAGTTTGTTCGATGTTGTTGACTGATCACCTAAGTTAAAATTAGGAACATTACACGTTCTTCAAAAATGACAGTTATTTTCTTCTATTAAGAGTATTTACGTTTGTTGCAATGGCTTATTCATGAGATGTTTAGGCGATGAAGTGGAAAAAAATGTGTACGTTTTCTTCAGCAGTAAGTCAACGACGCTCAAGAATATTCAATGCATCCGATAATATTTAATCAGCACAAGGAGGACTTCGTTCAACACTGTTTCTCATATTCCGAATATTCTCGGCCACTGCTGCATTTTCCATGGAAATTTTCATCTCTTGTGAGGATCGTCTTGTCTTGTACTATAGGGCTTTCTAAAACGGAGCTGAGCAGGAGGAAATTCTGGATAAGAAAGGCTGGCAAATGCCAGCGAGCGTTGCAGTACAAAGACAAATTTAGAGCCATTCAGCACAGCGACCTAAAGGAAGGCAAGGACAATGGCTGAAGACTTGGACGGGGTGACGTACGATTGAGGGACTCTGGAAGACGCGCGCAGTTAGAGCCAATATCAAATATAACTCGCATCAGACGAATAACATACGATGAGGAAGACAGATTGAGGAGATGCAGGTGGATAAGTAAATGCAAAAGAAGTCTGATAAAAGAAAAGAATACCGAACCGCGAGGCAACTCGTGTTGGATTACAGCTCGGGATAGCAATTAAATACCATTTAGACGCACTATTAAAGGAGACGAGGTTAGGTTAGGTTAACATTAAGTTATAGGCAAGTTAGACGGATTGCAGTTGCAGAGTACTTAAATCTCAATAATCGGACAGGAATACGTGTGAAGGAGACCATTTAGGTAATTTTATTAGGTATAACTAAGAAACGTACAAATAAGAAAGTTAAATCGTTTCAATTTGTGTGAAATATTAATTTGCTATAAGTAAACTGAGGAAGGAAATTCGAATGTCGGTCAGAAAATGTCTCCCGCCTTATTGCATCTTGGAACTTAACATTAAAAATAACTTACCTCAGTAAGAAACAATACCCCTCTCAAATGAAATAACATAGCTCACACTTCCATCACATGCAAAAAATTTCATTCGTTCGGCGAGAGATCAAAGAATGTCTCACAGTTACTGAAGCTATTCCTTCCATTTGGCTGAATCAGCACTACGCAGCAGATGCATGCTAAAGCAATGACTTATTATTAAAGGAATCGACCTTACCACAGCAAATCTTACCGGATCATTGGTCACTCATCGCTAAAATTATAAAATGTTTACGTAAGTTGTTCAGAAATGTGCACTTTAGAACTCAAACAAAATTTATGTTCCAAAGTTCGCCAGATAGAATTATTACGTAGAAAACAATTTTTGTAGATGCCTTAGGTAAAAAAAGTTGAATGAATATTACAAAATTAATTAATGTTATAGATAAGCGTGATTTCTTCAATTTGAAGACTTTTAGCAAGGGAAGCTTCTTCCTTCCTCGTATTTGTAGCCAAATTTCTTTATATATATAGGTACACTCTACGTGCGCGTCTGTTCTATTGTTGACGTTATTGCCTTTGAATGCATTGTTACCGTCAACTGCTCATACGAGTCACAATTGTCATGATACAATGACGCGTAACTCACATCTCAGAAGACGTACGTCGACAATGTGTGACTCAAGATGGGAATTGGTAAGGAATTCTGTGAACTCGGGCAGTTATGTGAATCTCATCACTAGGATCGAATTGCACTGGAGAGAGAAAATGCTTCAAAAATATTTGTCATCCAAAAATATCTCAGCGTATGTAGTTTGATCCGGATTTAAAAGTTTCCGTTCTTCAAACTTGTTTTTCCATGTGCTTCCAGTAAATTTATATATCATTAACGAACAATTCCAGTGACTTTCGAGTTTGGATTAAGTAAAAATCATGTGGAAATTTGATTGACAAAATTTAAGATGCTTCATGACAAAATTTGTTTAACCTGTACATTGTGAACTAGTGATAAATTTCAGAAAAAAGTCCCTCATTCATTTATTTCCTGACAAAAATAATAAATAAAAATTGAACAGAATTAAGACGGATTCATATGAGAGCTTGCCTAAAATACAATGAAAGCATGCACCATTCATTCCAAAATTATTAAATTTATTGTTTATCGCAGAATTTTTTTTTCAAATAAATAAATACAAATTCAATAGAGCACGACAATGAAAACATATATGTGATGCGAAGAATTTGCATTATATCACGGGATATGTAGAGAGTAGAATCTGTTCGATGCCACTAGCATGTCGAAAGAGTTAAATAACTACTTACAGATTTTCATGCATTGAAACAATGCTAGAGGAATTTATTTGGTCAACAAGGCAATTTTGGTTATCTTCCTCAATCAATTTTGGTCGCTTCTGAGAATTCATATTCAACTGAAAAAGGATGATCTCTTTCATCTGACATCGCTTTCGAACAAATTTTAGCCAAGTATTTTCGATTTTTCATTACCAACTAACGTCACCCATGAATTAAGCTACAACTTGTACACGAGTTCAAATTTAAATCAAGAGCAATTTCGCTTCTGAATTCAATTGAAAATTTTAGATGCCTGAATTAATTTAGGAACTTCTTTTGTACGAAGGCTGCTGATACCCACAGGTTAGGCCACTTAGGGCGGCCTCTTCAGTGGCTTTCAAAACCAGCGCATTTCTTCTCAATAGGGGATTATTTGAAGTCGATGTAACCCGAGGAGAATTCCTTGAAAGCCGTCAAGATCTACGAGGAAAATTGGTGGAAATAAAGCAAGACAGTCATTGAAGAACTGGATCTAAGTATTTTTGAACAATTTCCTTCGGCGATTTAGGGCAGACCTAAAAATTTAATCATTAGCCAACACTGGGCATCTATTTGAAATAACAATCGAAAATGTTCACCGACGTAAATTTTAGAATGTACCATATACGATATACCTACTGCATAACTAATAATTTTGACATATTTCCCCCTCAGGGAGGACTTCTGACGCGTGGCTGTGCTCGTCAAAAGTCCTATGGGATTTCGCGCTCCTAGAGGCATTATTCCTGAGCGCCCCACCGCTGAGCACGCGGTGCCCAACTGCAGGTCTCAGTTGTGGGGTTAAGTTATTTTGTAGGTAGGATTCCTTATATTTCCCTTCTCTCTCGTGCGGGTGGCCGACGTCCCGTGTAAGCGACCTCTTGTTCGAATGTCTGTTACTTTTCACCTGTCCCTCCGTCTCTGAGATGCTAACGCTGTTTCCTTCGAGCCAGCGTCATGGCTGGAAAAGTGAGACCTTCCGCCTCTTGTGGGTGATGATTAACTGGAGATTTTGAACAAGTGAGACCTTCCGCCTCTTTAGCAATGTTCTATTTTGACCTTCGGTGCGAAATAGCTTGATAGCTAAAGCGCTAGCAAACCATTATACTACCATTACTACTTGACACATTTCAAATTCGACCGTGACAACTAATTCATCACTAAGGGAAATAAGCAACAAAGCATACTTTAAAATTTTAATCCATCAGAACATTTTACGTGAAGATGTTAGCTAATGAAGGCGGCAGAAATGTACGAAACTAGTCCCGGACTTGCTGTACTAGAACATAACAAAGCAAGAGTCGTGATAGGTACTCAGTTCTTCGGTCGGAGGAAAGGAAAAAATTCATAGGTTTCAACTTCGTATCATCTGTCTTGTGTCCACGTAAACGATTGCCTACCGCATAAAATTAGTGGAAATAGATCAAAGAATCAAACTTAGAGTAAAGAACAGCAAATAAATTACCTAACTTCGAAGACCGATCTTACGTAAGAAACTAGTTTTAAACTCGTCGCTTTACAGGCATCATTCTAGAAAATGACGAGTAAAGACAATTCAAGTAAGAATATTGGATGGTCAGAGAGAGAAATAGAACTACATTTGCACCTTACATTCCATGGTGGACATGACACGGTAACTAAATACATCAATTCCTTTTCCCACTCAGGTTACAAGGTGTATTATTTTCATGTAGATTTTAATTTTCATACGCTTCACCATCAGAATTAGTAAGCGTATAAAAATCAGTAATTCGAAGCCTCAACGAACGCTCTATTGAGAGGCAACGAGCACAAAATTGCTCTTATTCTTGGCACCAGAAGAATACGTGTGCGTTAGTTAGCAGCAACGAGCATTTTCCTAACCCTCGCAACGATTGCGGGCAAGAAGGCGACATGGGAGGTTTTAGAGCCATAATCTTGGTGCAGCTGCTGCAGCGCGGGCAGCAGTTCGTTGAACATGTCACTAACTTGTTCCTTCAGCGCCGCCGCCTGCGCAGCGTTCAGGGACTTGTGGAGAGGCGTGGGCGAGGAGTATGGGTGTTGAATGGCCAAAGTGCTGGAGGCGGTGGCACCTACGGTACTGAAGGCCGTTTGCAAGTGACGCCAGAGGACATACGTCGAACTCTCACAAATGAAAGCACTCAATTGCTGTTTCTTCATGAGTGATAATAGTGCAGTTCGATTGGCGTGCCCTCCAGTGTTCGACGAGATGCCATTACCTGCATCGCGTTTAAGTGAAGCTAGTGCACGACTTGCTTCAGAGAAAAAGTTGGTTCCATATTTTAGAGCTTGCAGGAGCGTTCCAATGTTCAGGATTTTACTGGAACGGCACTCGATCACAGGCTGGAAAAAAATGGCCCGTGGATTTGTCAACAAATGATGACAGCAACACGTGAGGCAAGAAGATAGGATGTCCAGGTGTAGAATCTCAGTGGCGATGTCGGCATCTTTAAGGAGAGGGGCAGGAGGAATCAGAGATGGAATAAGACCCACTAGTCGTTGATAAAGAAGAATGACCGAGCTATTGTTTTGACTAGCAGTAGCCGTGCTCGCTAGCACTCCTGAAACAAGAGCAATGGTGTCAAGAGGCACGTTGGCAGAGGGCATTTGCAATATGCTGCCGATGGTGTTCATGTGAATGGTGAAAAAATCGGCGATTTGACTGCCAGCAGACCAGTCTTGGCTGCTTAGAGAGCTAAAGATGGCCTGACAGATTCTCACAGCACCTTTGACGGCACCTATTGTGATACTTTCTCCAATTTCTAGGCTGGCTCCTAGGATCTGAAGCTTAGCGAGTCGAGACATAAGTCCTACTTGCAACAGCTGCCGCGCGCCTTCTGGGTTCAATGCTAGCTGCGAAAGCAAATCACATCGGGACTTCCAAACGTACAGAGGCCGCAGATCTCCTCCAGTAGATACGAGGTTTAGAAGCTGTTGGTCATCCTGCTCGAGCCCATCCAGTAACCGGCGCAGTTGCCCTTGCTGAGTCAGCTGCTCCAGGAAGGCTGAGGGAGAGGACGAGAGGAGCGAGCCAGTGCTCAAACTAGACCCTGAGCGGATCTCGAGAGCCGCTATGGCACTAAGGCAGGTGAGCGCTAACATTCTGCACAGGTGATGGCCAGCGGTGGCTTCACAGCATAACACGGATAGAAGTTGACTTATCTCTTCCTTGACGACGTCGTAGCTTTCTCTCTGGTACTGTTCAATGCTGTTCTCAGAAGGGGCGACCACCAGTGAAGAGATCTCTTTTGGCTTCGTCGGATCATCAGTAGATTCACTGTAAATTTTCAGAAAATTTAGAAGCGCTGCGTATACGTTGGCTCGAACGGACTGGTGGCTATGACGGAAGCGCGCGACGCATTCGACGAGGCCACGAAGGATCAATAGAAGTGATGACGGTACTTGAGGAGGCTCGCCGGCATCTAAGGCAGATACGAAATTGGTACCAGCATCAGGTTGCATTTCCGGCGAATAAAGATTTTTTAACGTCGACACCAGCAAGAGCAACGTCGAAACCAGGAGGGAAGTAAGATCTGGTCTTGCCATGTCATCAAGAACGCGACGAGTGAGCTCAAGCGTTATGGCATGCAGAAAAGCGCGATGTAAAGGACCGTCCAAAGTTTCAGCAGGAGTCACAGTGACGGCAACTTCAGCAAGCTGCCCCCACGCCTCCATTAGGTTTCTTCTGGCAACCAGTAAAGTAGAAGCTGCGTTTCTGGCCAGGGCATAATCCAGCACGGCTTGGACATCAGCTTCCAAAGGACCTTTTTGAGCGATGGATGCTCCAGTAGGGCCACTATCTTGTAGCACTTGGTTGAGCATTTGATACAACTTTTCGATATTTATTTCCGAATTTTGTCCTTCTTCACAGGATTTGATAATCTCAGGAACACCCGATAGGAACTGGCATTGCAGAGGGTGAGGTGGGTCTACGTTCAACTCGAGCATCTCAAGAAGGCTCAATAGGATACCGCGGGTAGCTGAGGGCGCATTTTCGGTGTTGTTTATCCAAGACACAGTGCCCTCCATTGTTCCTTCCGCCGGGCCATCAGGGTGGCTTTCATATCCAGTCACAAGGACATTGATGAGACGAATGAGTTGCGAGCGTTGTTGATGAAACGCGTGATGACGGAGATCAAGAGCAGCAATTCTCAACATCCAAGCTGTAGAAAGGATCCTGTCTGGAGTTTCTTCAACGGCAATGGGAAGGGCACTGAGTGATCGGTGCACGAAGTCCCTGGATGAGAGATATCTAAGAGTAGCATCAGCAGTCGAGTGATGAGACGCAATGCTGTGAAGTAAACTGAGCATCAACTCTGAGGACTGTGGAGGCAAAATCGGTAGCACAGAAAGCATTGCATGCAGCGCGGTTCGAGGGAAGCCTCGAACCCCAGGCTCCAGTAAATCAGATCGCAGTTCACCACTACGTATTCCGGTGCCGTCAAGGAAACCAAGGAAAAAATGAGACAAGTTTGGTGCTGGAAGAGCCAAGAAAGTTTTAAGAAGCATCATTGCAGCTCTAGCTGCTTCAGCGTGATCTTCGTCAAGAGCAGCGTGGTCGATGAGCTGTACAACAGATTGACGGGTGACGACAGCATTCGCTGGCGCTGTCAGTTGCGGCATAAGGTGCTTATGTCCTGACACCGTCCCTCCTACCTCCGCCAGTAGTTTGCATGCAAGAGTTGCGTGTTGCGCGAGAGTAGGGTGATGGCTGATGATACGAGTTACGTTCATCAGGTAATCACAATTTCCTGAGCGTGGGTTCATCGACATAAGCAGTCTGTCGAGGCCAATCAACATGAGAGAGCTATTCTCTTCGCTGTTCAGAATAACTCTTTGGTACTTCAGAATTCTCAGGAACATCTCAAGGATGAGCATTAGTGTCGCTTGCATGTCGTCAAAGCATTTGGATTCAACGTACTGCTCCAGCACTTGCACTGCGTCATGCATCACATTCAGCAACTGACGCAACAAGTTTGAATCATGAACAAAATCAAGAACCAGACTGTGACCAGGATGGTGCTGAGAAGATTCAAATCCACTAGTTTTAGCAGAGAATGGTTGGTATTCCATGACAAGTTTGTGAAATAGAGAGCAGCAGATCTTTGCAACAGCCCAGCGTTCTTCAGCTTTTCTGTAGGTTCGAGAGTCGTGAGGGATGAAGATTTGGTCTTTGACAAGCTGCAGGTACGGCGAGAAGCTATGGCCGCGAGATGACGTAGCCAGCTGGAAGGGTATTCCAGAACTGACAAGTGTAATGAGAAGCGCAACCAGAGCGCGACTCAACGGGAACTCTTCAGTGCTGCTTTCAACCTCTTCAATATCTTGTCTTATTCCTCGGTTTGAGTAGCCAGGGGCTCCGGCCATTGCAGGCACAAGACCGGCAGCCTCGATGCACTGCCACACTGTCACGGCGACGGAAGGTGACATGCTGAACGCCGCTAAAACGTTCAGAAGCTTTGTTTTAAGACTTAGAGGAACGCTGCATGTTAGTAGCCCCGCACACACTTCGATGGGGGAGAAAGAGACACGAGCACTCAGGTCAATGCGAGCAGCTTCATTAAGACTAATGACGGCACCGATAAGTTGCATTACCACCACAAGTCCCTCCAGTTCCTGGGGAGTGATGGCACGGGCGCTGCGGCTGCTGCGATAGATGCTGTCAGCTGGAGTCTGTTCAATCCGTAGATTCTGATAATATTTTGATAGGGCATTCAAGAAGTGATCCCAAGAAAGATTGCTTTCCTGAGGACCATATCGGCTACTATGTCGTAGGTAGTCGTAGAGGCGGTGACAGGAGATTTCGGTGCTGGCCAAGCTAGATAGAAATTTCACGTAGGGAATGAACAACGAATGAGGCAAGAAATCACGAGGTAGCTGGACGAAGTTTCTCAAGGCCACTTGACGGGAGCTGAAAGAACCTGAGGAGGCTGCTGATGTGCCTTCACACCAGTATTCGTCAATGAGCTCACTACAGTTGGGATGACGATATAGAGCTGCAAGGCAAGTCAACAGCTGTTCAAAAGGCTGTTCAATGTTGCTTGGGACCTCGAGGCCCTCTCTCAGGTGGGCCATGATATTCTGGGCGTTTTCGTCGGCTTTGGTCTTCATGTGTTTCACGCGCTCCGGCATTCTGTGTATGAAATCGGCCATGATGCCGTGAAGCCTTCTGCAATAGAAAAGATCAAGGGGCGAATTTCGTTCGTAGAGCACAGACTTCTCCAAGAAACTAAACACTTTGCATTTGAGAGCTTCAGAAAGCATCAACTCGTCCTCGTCAATAAAAGCATCGTAGTCAGCCAGCTGTATGTTGTTTGCCACCTGCCTGAGGTTGGCTAAACTGACTGCCCATGCAAATTGGACGACTGCCTTCAAGCCAGGGCACTCCCATTCTCGACCGCTCTTTAACTCCTTGTGGATTTCAGCAACAAAAGTCTTGTCAGATGTGATAGGAAAAGAGCTAAGAGCGTCAGTCATGTCCTCAACAGCGAGTAAATGACCAGCTTCTAGGCTGTAGAGTAATGCCATCAAAAGTGTTAAATTTACGTGGTCCAGGGTTCCGTCACCTGTTTCTTCCAGCTTCACTTTAGAAAGGTAGGCCATAAGACGCCTGCAGTCGTCTTTTTCGAGAGGAGTTTGCGCAGACCAGCAGAAAAGTGCTTCTGCGAAGAGGGTCCTAATGGACTTGAACTTGTCCAACACCATTCGCCTATGACGAGCGTCGCCAAGCGCTCGATTTTGTTGAAGCATATCTACTTCTTTTGTGATATCCATGCCAACAATCACTTCAAGGATTCGGTCAACCATGTTGAGGGTGAGCATTGGTTTCAGGTAACGTGTGATTGAGAGTGAAAGCTCCTCATTGCCCTCTAGAAGGGTCCATGAGATTCCCTGTCGTGCTTGCAGAAGTGTTTTGAAGGCATTAGCAAAGTTTTCTTTACTGTCATAATAAAAGAGAACAGCAATTAGGCCTCGAGGCATTCCAGGGTAAAGAGTCTTCTCCTCTTCAGCAGCTTTAAGTAGGGAAAGAGCAGCAAGTTCGTTGAGTGAGTACATATCAGAGATGAGCAGAGCCTCACGAACAAGAGCTTCTGGCAGCTTGGTTTGGCCTGAGAAACCAAGTATGGCTGTGGGTGTGGAGACGGAACGTTGAAGGGCATCTCTGCAAGAAAAAAACCTTTATAGCCGAGTGTGGAGAAAACTAGAAAGAAAAATGTGAGCAGAAAATTACCCAATATATGCTAAAAAATCAAGTACCCACGGAAGCTGCGCAACAAGCCAGCCAATGCCTGAACACCAATTTAAAACATTTTATCCTTTATATGTATGTAAGTCATGCAAAAAACTCATGAAACATGATGATTATTTTATCACTTGCTAGTTAATTATTGCTTTCACATATCTGTCATTCTAAAAATTAATTAAATGATATATACGGTATATACCTGTCAGGCTGATGCTTTGGTTTATGTAGAAGTGTTATGAAGGTCGTTCTGTGTTTTTGTAAAGCCACATTCATTTGGTGCGCAAGCTCCACTCTTTTCAAAGCCGAATCAATGGCATCAGAAGAAGCAGAGCTGGCACTCCCTGATGCTGCAGACACTGCCTGCTGAATGGCTTTGTTTAAGCTCACCATGGAGCCCCATAGCCCCCGACCTGCATTATTTAAAGAATTTAGGGAAGTTAAACAAAATTTCATTTTTAAACATACTCGGTACTAGTTTCTCAGTCATAATATACCTACTCAAAATAAGGCCAAATATGTCAAATGTAGCATTAATCACAAGAACAAAAAGTATGTGAAAGAAGAAAAGAAAAGAGCAGGAATTAATTTATATGAAACACTGGTATATTACATAAATGTTATTTAACCAATTTATTTATTTGTTTAAATATTTTTCTGACTCCCTAGGTTTTCAAAAGAGTTCAGTTGGTAAAAAATAATTATAGCCACATAATTTCATATTTATATATGCTTTTGGAGATGGTTGAATTCATAGCCAAATGCTGGCATTTCTGCCTTCCTTCCATTTCAAATCAGTGTGGAATTCTGTAGTATTCAGGATGCATGAGCTCTCACCATCAAGAAACGTGCCTGCAAAAAATAAAACCAATTAGTACTTTGAAAATTTTGCATAGGTACAAGCTAAAAAATTAGAATATACTACAGAGTTGGCTCATCAAAATACATTAAAAATAAAGAGTAAAAATAACAGGTGATTCTCACAAATGAAATGAAATCACACGCTATTCTGTAACAGAAACTGCACTAAAGCAAGTTAACAATAATTATAGCTGTAAATTATACAGTTGCTAGAGTTTAGCTACCGTCAAATGGGGTAATAAGGGACGGTTTTGAGCGTTTCATGTTAATAACTTCTTACCATGAAACATTTCATAAACAAGTTTAGGCTCATTTTATAGCTCTTTGCGAGGGCTATCAAATCATCTACAAAAATTCCATATAAAATTTGTAAGGTGCCAGACGCAAAATCAAACCGTCCCGAATTACTCCTGGGAACGGGGTAATCCGGGACACTTGAAATGAAACTCAAATTTAAATGTTTGAAGCATGCCGAGTGTACTCATCCATTACTATCAGTACTCTGGAGTCCTCTTTCATTGTAGATGATGTAGATGTAGATTAATGACATTTTCTGTGTTTTACCCATTTTTCCTTTATTGATATATTACCATATAGGTACATTATTTACTGTATTATTGATGTGATATTACCATGTCCATAAACATGCCATTGAGCATTTACGACCTTGTCCACTGCAAGCTTTATATCAGCAGCCATATAGCATTTCTTCTGTCTCAGTTAGTTTACAGGACGGCTTGTACTTTCACACCATTTTAATTGGGTTAAGTGAATTCACTATAAAAAAGATCATAAAAAAACAAACCTGAAACAGAAAGGAATGTTTTAGAAACAATCATCATATGTTTTGGAGAAATAAAACATAGTTTAGGTTAATTACTTTTCATTTTAAGATGCCCAGTGCACAATTCTATACATGACATTCTGTGCACCATTTTGTGATGACCAATGATGCATTAATTTTTTGACAAGCAAAATTTTTTTGCTCCAGACCTTAGTAGAAGTACCATCAACCGGGGCTACTCGGGATGGGCAGGGTAACTCAGGACAGTCCTCCGACATGGCGTAAAACTGTTTTAGCAGCAAAACTAATTGGAATATTGCAAAACTAAATATAGTGGCATAAACGTCATCATTTTTCATATCTATGTACTATAAAGGAAGTTCAAAAATACTACATATACTAGCTTTGAAAAATTTCTGAAAAAATGGTGAAAAACAATATTTTGAAAAGTTACTTCTAAGGTCTGTAGTAAAAAAAATATTTGCCGTATTAAAAAATTTTGCTTAGAAAAAAGTGGCAGACAAGTGTCAGCATGAAAACTTTATTTGCGGAATTTGCATACCTCAATCCCCCAAAAAATGGCGGCCATTTCCGCACGGCAGGGCTACTTGGGACACCCCCCTGGGGCTACTCAGGACACCCCCAAATACGCATTTACAGTAGAACCTCAGTTAGCAAAGGCTCCAGCTAAGAAAAAATTGATTAAAAACAAAGAATATTGATTACATTTACCTTGCTCAGTGAAAAAAATTTCACTTATCAAAAAATTAGTGCATCATCAATCATCACAAAATTGTGCATAGAGTGTCATATAGAGAATTGTGCACCAGGCATCATAGAATGAAAAGTAATTGACCTAAACTATTATTTATATCTCCAAAACATATGTTGGTTGTCACTGAAACATTCCTTTTCATTTCAGGTGTTTTTCATGATCTTTTTTTATAGTAAATGCACTTAACCCAATTAAAATGGTGTGAAATTACAAGCCGTCCTGTAAGCTTACAGATACAGAAAAAATGCTAAAAGGCTGCTGATATGAAGCTTGTAGTGAACAAGGTTGTTGTAAATGCTCAATGGCATGTTCATGGATACGGTAATATTGCATCAATAATACGGTAATATCGCATCAATAATATGGTAATATCGCATCAATAATACGGTAATATCACATCAATAATATGGTAATTAATGTATATGGTAATATCATATCAATAAAGGAAAAACAAGTAAAAATCACAGAAAATGTCATTTTTTCTACCTTGACATCATCTACAATGAAAGAGGAGGACTTCAGAGTACTGTTAGTAATGGATGAGTATGCTCTGCATGCTTCAAATGTTTTAAAATGAAGTTTTATTCCAAGTGTCCCGAGTAGCCCCATCAAACAGGGACACTCTTTTTTTGCTTTTTGGCACCTTACGAATAGCATATGGAATTTTTTTTGGAGAAGCCATGTGATAGCCCTTCCAAAGAGCTTTGAAATGAGCCTAAACTTCTTTATGAAATGTTTCATGGTAAGAAGTTATGAATGAAAAACGTTCTAAATCATCCCGAGTAGCCTCTGGTTGACGGTATAGTCAAATGGGGTAAGATAGGATTGCAGCCTTCATGGGGTAAGAAAGGATTGGCCCATGGCGTGCATTCTAATTGCACTGAATTTAATTTGACAATTTTAGAATATGTTAGAGCAACCATTGCCTGTCATTTCAGTGTTTGTTTCAACCCTTATCTGCAAATAATAAATTTCTGGCTAATTTTTAAAGAAAACCTAGGTAAAGAAGGGTCACAAAATAGTTAACCCTGTTTGGAAAATAAGCTCTGTTTAATGACAAAAAATTCTTTGGGCAGATTTGTGGATGTGGGCAGGTAACCTTAACTAACAAGCAACTTTTGAGACATACTAGGCATTCCTACTTGCTACCATCACTGCCTGACTTCTATTCTAAAATGAGGTAAAAAAGGACCTGACATGGGGTAAAACGGGACCACTACATGATCCTGTTTTACCCCACAAGTAGTCCTATCTTAACCCACAAATGGACCTCTCTTACCCCATAGTTTATCAAAAGTAGCTTTTAAATGAATAAATTATTGTGCATAAGTAAACATGGAGTATTTTGGTCAAAATTTTTATCTTTTGCTCAAAATAACCATTCTAACTCATTAGCTTTTTAATTAGAGAAATTTAGCTTACTATTGAAAATTGTATCAAGGGGATGGAGAAAATAGGGATGTCTCTTCCCATTAGTGAGCTGTAGAACTATGTGCAAGAGTGATTGCGGGAAAAATCATTGTGCGAAACATAAAAAATAATTATTATCATAACTTTGTGAGAGGGCATGGACTATGTTTGAAGAAGTGCACCACAAATGCAGTTAGCAAGAAAACACATAACATTGACTATCAAGTTATTTTCCATTGGTTTTATTACCAATTTGATGAATTTTCAGACAATGACACTAATGGAATATACATGTAGCATTTAGCAGTGCTCTACAATGAATCAAAGCCAACCTACTATTACTATGCTTAACAAGGTTTTCTCCTGACAAAAACTCCAATGTGACTGATATTAGAGTTGACTTCCTGCAGCACAAAACAGTAACAAGTGGTTGTTTAATCAAATAATATGTTTCTAGATGGATAATATTGAATATCATGTTTGTACTTTTATTAAAAACCTTGTAACATAAGAATTACCAGTTGGTCCTGTCTTACCCCAGCCTGGTCCCATCTTACCCCAATGGGGTAAGATGGGACCAGCTCACTTTTTTTAATCTGTACAGAAAGCTGTGTTGTATGCAAAAAGTCTGAGTTGTAGCTTTGAAGCCCATTGCATAACTACACCTTGTGATAGGTTTAGGATTTTCAAGTTATTCATGGTATAGATGCTACATGCTTGTTAGTGATTTCAGTCCTGTCTTACCCCATCTGACTATCATCTACAAAGGAAGAGAAAGACTTCAGAGTACTGTTAGTAATGGATGAGTACACTCTGCATGCTTCAAACATATTAAAATTAAGTTTTATTTCAAGTGTCCCTTATTACCCCATTACCAGGGTTAGTTCAGGAGGCTTTTATTTGGCGTCTGGCACTTAACGAATAGCATATGGAATTTTTTCAGAGATGCCATACAATAGCCCTCGCACATACCTTCAAAACAAGCCCAAACTTCTTTATGAAATGTTTCATGGTAAGAAGTTATTGACAATGCTCAAAACTGCCCCTAATTACCCCATTTGATGGTACTTCTGGTAGATCATTTATAAAAGTGACTAGGGTAAACGCGGTATATTCCGACATCGTAGGTAATTCCGTCACCTCTCCAGCTTTTCCTTTATATTAAGCTTTGTTTTAGTTCCATGCGTTCATTGATGGTTGAAATGGTGACCAGGTGATGTCATACATTTGCGTGTTGAAATACTGCAAAAACACTAGGTCTTGGCCATCTAGTGGGAAAATATTGAGATCCAAAGAGAGACAATGCATGCCACGTGGTGAGATCATCGAAAAATGTGTCAAATTTGACAGTTGACATGGCTCTACCAAATAGTGAATAACTGTTTTTATAGGAAGAATATTATGGTTTGAGACTTTTAAATACGTCTGTGAATATATTAGGAATCCTTTAAGTATACTTGTATTCGCTGATTTCAAGTCGTAAATAAATTAATAGATGATTAAGTTGAGATGTTGGATTTAGACACATGAAAACTAATTCCAACACAACTTGAATTGGACACACACAGATCGTTCAAAGCTTTGTACAAAAATTGAAATTTGCTTAATTAAAAGCCTAATAGCTGTTAATTAAAACGTAATTAAGTAGTGTTCAATATTCGTTAGTGTTCTAATTCAAAGCCGTGTTGTATCCCAATACAGCTCACACAGCAAACGGAATTCGAACATGTGGATGTCGGCAATACGTATCAGTTAAATTTGAAGCGCTGACGCAATACGACTCACCACGTGTCGAATATTGCCACACAAAGGGACGGAATATAGGGATTTGGTAGGTTTCCATTCTAAAGGCTTTTTAATAAATATGGCAACATTTTGCAACGTTTCATCGTTGCTGACGCGTAGTGAAGTGTTTTGAGAGTCATGTGAAGGCAACAGAACTTACATAACACATACGTTTTTTTTATAGTTTTTCATTTCTCGATGCGTCCTTAATGTGTCGGAATATACCGCGTTTACCCT